TATGTTATTTACATTATATTTTGTAAATATTTAGTTATAGTTTGTTGGAATTTTTTTTTTTTTTGGTTACCGTCTATTGTTAGTGATATTGGTGTTTTTCAGTGTTGTAACTATTGTAGTATTGTAGTATTATTAGTACTAATTAGTTGTATTATATTATTAGTATTAGTAATATTAGTTGTTATTATAATTATGTAGGTAAGTAACTAATTTGCTGTATTAATATCAATTTGTCTCAATAAAGAAAAAAATAATAATGAAAAAATAAATAAAATAAACGTGCTAGAAAACAATGGACGTTCATTTTCAAAGCGATTTCTTGGTAACCTCGGAATAGTTCGGGTGACCGCGCAAACCACTTAACCTCCTGGTATAGTCTCGCCTAATAAACTTCAGAAATAGTCATTGCCATTTTCCCTCCGAGTATAAATTTCTACTTGGATTGCACGGCAACATGGAATCCATTTGTTAATTATAAAAACAGTATCTGTAGTATAATTTCCCTTGGACATGATGATCAGCTTCTGTTTGGAGTGTGTAGTAGGTATATCATATATATTTTTAAGTATATTTGCATATCGAGCGATATAATTTTCTCTTCATTACAGTAGTGCTGCAATATTGGTAAAAAATATACTGCGAATTATTTTACAAACTACAGAAATATATGTCTACTAAAATAAATACTCAGTTCTCACCTGCAGGAATCGATGAGTAGTTTGCAATGAATCCTGCACCGAGGTTGCTTCTATATCCTTTAACCATTATGCTGAGCTCGTGTCCCGTCGAGTAGAAATTGAACGATGGTAGTTCCCCAGAGAATTTCACGATACGAGGATACAATCCGTTTATTCTATCTGCGATTTCTACATAGATATAGTATACTCGGAAAGACAAGAATTCTATTTTCACAACTTTCCCTTTTGGTGCAATTATCTTCCAATGACATTTGTTTGCTAACTCGTAATGAGAACTTTGTGGATACCAGGGGCTTTTGACCACTCCCGAGGCATTTCGAAGCTCGATATTCAAGTTCTCGTCATCAGAGTTGGCCAAGGAACAATCACGTACTGCAAACAAAATCATAACCGTTAGACGGCGAGCTCGAGGATTTAATCGGTTGATAAGTGGCGAGAGCTGCTGTACATTGAATGATTGATTGATCGATTGAAGCCCAGGGGTTAAATATCAAAGTCAGCGGAAACTGAGAGTTTCGAGTCTAGTTTGAAACAGAGAAAGAGCTTCGTGTACATTCACAGAAGTGTTCCTATAATAATAGCATTTGGAACATTTAGTTTGTGCCACAGAGTTTAAACGTCTTCTCTCACTCCCCTCCCCTCTCTGAGCTCCTATCCTTATTTCTCACACTTCTTGCCTCTATTCCACCCCCTCTTCTCATTCTCCCACTTTTCGTCCCTGTATCCTGTTTTGGCTTTTACCCCACCGCATATCTGGCAACTTCCTTTCCCTATCCCCGCCTCCCTCCCTCCTCTTTCCGCCCCAATCTCCAATACCCCGCCTTATTACCACACTATACCCTACAACACCCACTTTGCTCTCCTAGGCCCTCATTTCCAAGAACCTTACCTGTCTTGATAGCCGAATAATTGACAAATATTCCCTGCTCCACACCTCCATCCACCTTTTCATCGCTCTTGAAAACAACGTAGACAGAACGAAACTTGGAATATATTTTCCAGGACTGCAGGCTGATGGCGGTAAGATCCGAGTCCCCCACGTCATAAATCTGCACGTTGTGTTTTAAAGTATTCCAATTGTTTAACTGTGGCAAAAAATGAAGCTTAAGAACGTGATTCTCGGATGCCGTGATGTACCATCCACAAGTCTTGTTTCTGTGATAACCATAAGGGTAATACGGACTGGAAAAGTTGTACTCTGTTGGCGACTGAGGAGCAACTAAGGTCTTGTTTTTAGAACATTCTGAAAGTGAACATTGAGCAATTATCAGACATTGAAAACTCGAGTCGTAACCAAGAGGGCGGGGGGCTCGGTACAACAATTGTATGACTGGGTGACATCGAAAACACATCAGTTTCACGAGGAAAAAATATCCGAAATTATTAATTTCAAGACATAGAATGAAAAATAGGTATATAACGTTTTGTTATCGCCAATAGGATAACAAGGTGGAAGTTACCTTTTTTCAAAGACTGAAGTTGCACTCGGCTAGAGAATAGAAGTCTCTTTGAATTGTACTTTTACCTTCTACTATGAGATTTTAATTTCCAGTTTAACGTTATAAGAGCATTTCAGCTCTTTTCAACGGCTTAAAGAAGGCCGACTAATACCCCTTAACAATACTGATTTAGCTTGCTTTTCCTGCGCTTCATACGACACACGCATGGCAGTGGCATTCTCAGTTACTCCAGTCTTCGCCTCCAACCACAAGCTACGGCCGCTTGAGAAAAAAGAAGTTCCATTAACCAGGGTGCTGTTACAATTGTATTCAGCCATTATGTCGCTTGCGTCACTAGGTCCATCGTGGATCCTTAGATGTTTGTCGCTACAGGGCTTCTGAAATGAGGCCGTGATGTAAATTCTGAGCACCTTGTTTACAGGGGCCGTGATGTTCCACTGACATGTAGCATTGAGCGGAAGCCATCCAGGCGTTTTTGGAATCGTACCATTACTACCTGTTATGGTAATTGTCGATTGATCGTTTGCAACGCAGCCTGTCAGATGAAGAAATCAAAGTGGGTATGAGCCACTCAACTTGGAAAATGGATCGTCGGTAAACAGTGGCAATTTTGATGCCACTGAACTGACGTTTTAATCCGTAGGTCATACATCATTTGTTTATCGAGCTAGAGAGGCGAAAAATGAAGTTAAAGCCCACTGGCATTGTTAAGAAATAGTGAAAAACCCAACAGCAAGAGAAAACATAAGGAGATGTGACACCTGCGAAAACATTCAGGAAGTCATCGGTGATCCTTGTCCGAGACGTTACCGCAAAGAAAGTACTGCTTCTTATCCCATACTGGACGCGTGACCAAGTAATAAAATCCTTGAACTGCGGGTTCTCGTTTTGTTTTCTTTTTTTTTTTGTTCTCATTTCATTTTCCCTGCCAATATCAGTGATTTTCCTTCTCTTTGCATTTACTTTTTAACGGCTTCTTTGTCTTCGGCTTAGCCCATCCATTGCCCCATGCATGTGACACATCGAGATAAGGTTGTGTAATATGTCTTTAATGAGATCTAAAACTGACCATCTGTCAGACTTTTACGATAATAATAGTTATATTTATACAGGATAAACCCCGTCAGTGTAGTAAATACTGGTATCAAAGGAGGTCCTGTTATTAGAGTACATAAGTAAAAATACAAAAGGTCTTAAAGGTAAAAATTCACTAAGAAAATTGTCACACGGCCAGAAATATATAAAAGGAGTATGCATCTACACATGAATCTTTTCATCTAATTAAGGAAAAAGTCTGTAAGTGTCCCTTGAGAATTCAATAAGGGATTCCTTTGATTTAATATCGCGAGGAAGATCGTTTAATTCCATCACACCAGTAAAATAAAAAGATCACTTCGCGACCTCTAGGTTGACTTTTGGTCATAGATTCTAGGGATCATAGGTTCTTGGATCTCAACTGCAGGTGTAGCCTTCGAACTTTTTTTCTTTCTTTGTTGCCATCTTTTAAGGCATCACACTGTATTTCGCGGACTGGACTGGACTGGACTGGACTTGTAAAACGCGGACTAATAAAAAAACTTGTACTTGACTTGTACTTCAATAATTGTCTTTATTTGAACGATCATCTCTCATCCAAACAACTTCAAATACTTATCAACTGCATACTTCTAACATACTTAGAGCCACCAAGTAACATAACATCCATTCCATTAAATAAATGACAATTGATTTGGGCCAAAATTCGGAATAAATTTTCATTTGCAAATGTCGCGCGAAGTTGGCGGCTTGTTTTAAGCTACCATCTCTTGCTAAAAGGCCAACACCTCCAGTTCAATTTCTAGAATTTAGATGGAGTGAAGTAAGAATAGAAGCAGGGCTAGGATGCGAGACGTTTGGATCTGTTTACCTTGTGAAATATGACAAAGACGCCGTCGAAATGTCATTGTAAAAAAATGAAAGGTGAGTAGAATTTTGGCGCGATTTTGGTGATCAAAGTCAACAGACCCTTTTCCGTCAGTCCTGTCACGTACTTTGCTAACCATACAGTTCCCTTTTTTAAATTTACGATAACATACCCTGCGCAGCTCGGTTCTTGAGTTGGAAAAGAAAGCTGTTGAAATTATTGCTGAAATGCCATTGTTCCTTTCTCAGAATGTATAAAGCGTATTGAAAGGTTAAAGCTCCTCACGTGACAACTTGCGTGACGGAGCGCATGATCTTCGCAGGTCTAGTGTGACTGTAATCTGTAAATCGTGACACCACATGAGTAAGAACTTTCTCGATTTCTAAAGATACTCCTAGAAAGGCAATCTGGGAGGATGTCATTATTTGCATTAAAGAATTGTTTGTTTGTTTTTTAATGCTTTTACTAACTTACAAACATCACTTACAATACATTTTTAAAAAAAACCTGCTTACAATACTTTTCATTACATTGCTTACTTACTTATCTGTAAACGTCTTACAAAGTTTTGTTTAACAGGGCGATAGCCGCATCTGCAGACTTTCCAATGCAAAAGATTGCTGTTGAAATTATTACTAAAAGGAAATTGTTCCTTTCTCAGAAGATAAAAGCGTGTTTAATGGTGACAGCTCCTCACGTGACGCCTTGCGTGACGGAAAGCAAGCGACGGAAAAAAGTAACAATATTGATAAGTTAATAAAGATGGTAAATTTTAAGCTCGGTAATAAAATGTGAAGGTGAATTAATCAACATGACACGAGCGTGGGACAAAGAAAAATTCTGAGTCCGAGACAGGAATCGAACCCATGACCTCCCGAACACCGGGCGGGCGCTCTATCCACTGAGCTACGAGAACTCATGGAGAGCAAGGTCATTTAACTGAGTTCA